TATGTTAGTCACCACACAATACATCATTAGTTTTTGATGTAGTGATCCATGATTCATTATTTTCACACAAATTTTTAAAAAATTATTTTTTATGTTTTATAGTCCTTATTCATTTTAAAAACAGATGAATCCATTTTTATTCTTGTTCAAAAAAAGGTCCTTTACCAGCCCTCCACCACACAAAATAAAAACAACAGACCTAAAATCAAGTAATGAAGATCTTTTATTTCTTCAGAGAAGAAAAATTACACAGATTAATAGGAAATACACAAAACAAGAATCATAGCATATATGCCAATGTCGACTGAGGTAGCGTGTTTGAAAAGGATGAGTGAGAACTAGACTTTCATCCTGGTTTTCACTCAATCTTCACCTCTTCTTTCATCTGATACCCATTCTTTTTGCTATTTATTAACCTCACTAGGCCAGGGACATCTGGAATTAAACACCATATGGGTACATGTGAATTTCAGTGAAATGTAGCAACACAGCCATTAGAATTTTAAAAGAAATGTACTGTGATCATTGAGAAGTCAATTAATAATCCCAATCTTTTTAGATATGTAGGCCTCTTAAAGTTTGAGAAAGCCCTGTGCTTTTATCCAGTTAATACTTCAGACCAAAAAGTTGTTTGCTAAGAATAATTTAGGACTTAAATGCCAGTGGGGGTCCCCACCCCAGTGCTACAATAAACACAATTGCTTATTTACTTTTCACTACCTCAAAATTTCTGCACACATTAATTCTTGAAATAGTTCTGAAAAGTGAAGGAACTGGAAGAATTTATTGCATTGAACCTATGATATGCTGTTGGCATATCACAAGTTATAATGGTATATCCATGAAAGATTTTATTTAAGAAAAAACTATAAATATGAGGAAAACAATTATAACATTCAAAAGTTTTAGTAGCTCAGATATTAAGGAATTTTTTCCTATCACAATATTTATAGTAAAACCATCAAGGATTAGAAAGATTCAACAAAGCCTTTTGAATCTGCCATAAACTACAATAGTTTTTTTTTTTTTTTAAGTTTTTTTATTTATTTGACAGAGCGAGAGAGAGCATAAGCAGGGGGAGTGGAACAGGGAGAGGGAGAAGCAGGCTCCCTGAGCAGGGAGCCTGATGCGGCGCTCAATCCCAGGACCCTGGGATCATGACCTGAGCCGAAGGCAGACGCTTAACGACTGAGCCACCCAGGCGCCCCTACAATAATAGCTTTTAAAAGCATTTTCATTTTAAAAGTACATTTTCATGTATAAATTTCCAAATTCAGAGGAATCATTAAAGTTTAAATCTCACCAGAAAATATAAACGAATGTGCTAACATTAACCTTTTATCAGTGAACCCTATTTTATATAAAATTTATAACATGCAATTACCATTTATATTTGCAAACTTCTACGTAATTGAAAACTATTGCTTTATCAGTTAACATGAATAAAAGTACCATAACAATGCCAGGAAATCAGCTGCAACATTTATCTCACATTGGTTAAGATACAAAGAGACCTTATTAGAATTTATTTCAACCACACTGAATTCTAATTTAAAAACTTAGTAGATGAACATCATTGATGGACTTCAAAAGAATACTAAAATTATTCTATAATCCATTTTTATGCTTATCCACAGAAAATATTTTATACTAAAACATTCTTTAACATTTAGGAAATAATCATTTTTTAACAATCAGCTTCACTTTATTTTAAGATACTGATAAAAACTGGGAGGCAAATGTAGTTTCGTAATTCAAATACAGGCTTCTCAGTTACTTGACCTACTTAATTTCTTCTTTGGAATAAATGCCCCTACCAAAGGGATAGTGGGAGGCTTAAATGAGACAATATATGTGAAGTGCCTGAAAACAGTATTTCAAGAAAAGTCAGGAAAGAGAAAGGCAGAGAAAAAAGATTTACTCTTCCTGATGTGAAATTGTACTGTGCCTATCCCTGTTCGCTTTCAGAGAGCAACAAGACAAAAAGATAAGCCACAGTGTTATTTCATTTTTAGATGGGCAGTTTAACTACCCATGTCCCCAAGATAGAACAGTACCAATCTCAAACTAATTTTTCTAACTAGGCTCAGATGTCTGGCAAAGAACTAGGAGGCAGTATGACTGGCAAAGTTAAGAGAAGGAGGAAAGAAAGGAAAACAGAAGCAGAGATAACGGGAAAGCAAATCCTGTAAGGACCTGCAGGCCATTGCAGGGATTTTGGTTTTATAGTAAGATACAAAGTCTTTGGGTTTGAAAAGAGGAGGGGCAAGATCTGACTAACTTTTAATAGGACCACTCTGGCTTCCGTATGGATGGTAGACCCTTAAGGAGAAAGTAAATATAGGATGGCCAGGTGGGAGACTATTGCAAAAATTTACATCAAGATGATGTTGGCTTGGTGTCCGTGAAGGTGGTGAGAAGTGATCAAATTCTGGATATACTCTGAAGGTAAAGGCAACAGAATATGCTGCTGGACTGGAATGGGAATGGAAAGAAAAAGAGAAGTAGACAAAGACTCCAAGGATTTTGTTTGATGCACTGGAAGGATGGAAGAGCCATCAACTGAGATGGAGAAGACTTTGGAGGAGTTTGGGAGAAAAGACCAGGGCTTCGGTTTTAGACCAGTTAAATTTGAGCTACCTATTAGACATCCAAATAGAGATACTGATCAGAGATAGGATGTGTCAGCCCGGAGTTCAGGGGAGAGGCACACTGGCAAAAGATACCTGTATTTCTTTGAATCTAAGATGACTTAATGCTGCTACTTTCTTGATCTTTTTCAGGAACTGTCAAAAGAAAACTTCGCACAGAACTGCCACCTCGCTGACAGTGACAGATGCCACCTGTTTCTAAAACATACTCTCTCAACTTAGGCACAACTTTGGGTCAGATAATTCTTTGTTGTGGTGGCTAACCTGTGCATTGGAGGGTTTTACCAGTACCCTTGGCCTCTACCCACTAGATGTCAGTAGCACCCTTTAATCAGTGACAACCACAGATGTCTCCAGACACTGCTAAATGTCCTTTGGGGGGGCAAAATAGCTCCCAGTTGAGAACCATTGTTTTAGAGGAATTAAAATGTGGGGAAAAGGTGTGTCTTAGATAAATGAAATAGGGTATTAAAATGCGGGAGTTGTCAGTGCTTAAGCTCACAAGAGTGGATACAGATAGAAATGGAGTCAGGACTGTACCTTGGGGCACTCCAATGTCAAGAGACTGCAGACAGGAAAAGGAGATTATGTTAGATATGGCTGAGTGGTAACCACCTTAGTAGGCCCAAGGAAAGCTGAATGTTAAAGCCAGCACTGGAGAAAAGCAGAGGGGCACCCCAATGTACATCATGTAACCTCAAAAGTCTCCAGAAGCAATAGAAGTGATGGTGGGAATGAAAGCAGAAGGACTGACTGGTTGAAAGCATACTTAAGCAGTTGATTAACAGATTCCTTCCTTTACTCACAGACCAACAGTGGTCTCAGGTTCAGACTGACAGTCACTCACAGGACCCAAAAGACCACAGCATGGGACCAAGTTCACTTAGTTCTACAGACAGACAAAGTGTGCTAGCATGAGACATGTTATCTTTAAAAAGGATCTATATAGGCCACCAGGAGCCTTTTCTGGACCCACCATTCTAAGGGACAGAAATCATGTAGGTAAGTACAGAAATCACCCTGGCTTAGGGAAACTTCATATTCCACAGGAACCAGCAGTCCATTTTAACAGCCAATGAGTGTAGGTTCCAGGAACCCTCAAGGGATGTATTTATGTTCACTTACAAAACTGATAAACTTCACACCAGGAAACAAAGGTCCGTGTCTATTCATAGGCTTCTAAGTTCACTCACAGTCTTCCTGGTCCATATGCACTCACTAATCAGGGGTCAGTTTATAGTAAACAATATTACCTGGAAACATTCTATATTTATTAGTCAAGTTTCTACTAAAAAAAAAAAAACGCCAGGAGCAGGAAAACACCCACAATCATTTCCCATGAAGAAAAGGGGTTCAGACTTGCTAATAATCCTTTCTGTTTTAAAGCAGTGATTCTCAGAGCGGGGACTTTCCCCTTACAGGGAACATACAGCAATGTCTGGTTGTCACAACTGAGGGAGGTATGTGTACTACTGGCATTTGTGGATAGGATAGGTGCCAGTGATGCTGCTAAGTTTCCTACAATACACAAGATAGCTCCCACAACAAAGAATTATTTGGCCAAAATGTTAGTAGTCAATGTTGAGAAATCCTGACCTAAAAGGATTAGATGGAAGTTCACATACTGAACACTGAGGACCACCTTACATTGCAAGCCTTCTTTCCCAAATGGGCTGCTAAAGCACTCACAGCCGACATACGCCCTCTATGTAGGAGAATGAAAGAACCATCTTCTCTGGAGAAGCTCACACTTTTCTGAGAGAAAAAACTTAAGAATGATACTAGAGCAAAGACTATGAAAGAGCAAAGAATTTTAAGATGATATTAATAAACACTGATTTTGTTTGAACTAAGAGAATCAACTGGGGGAAAGTCTGGAATTGAAACAGTGATAAACATATAAAAAAACCTATTTTTAAATCTCAAGACAACTACTAATTCCAGGTAAGCAAAATGTAATGGCCCAGAAAGAAAATGTAATAAAAGCATATAGTTTAGCACCAAACTGCATGTACATAGTCATGATAATATAAAAACTGAACAGTAACCAACCAAAATATACTGGGAGGATAGGGGAGCATGAGAGGAGAAGGGAGAGGAGCTGTCTAAAGAGGAGCTGTCTATATCCTAATCTTCCAGAGTGAGAAGTCAGTAGATAACACATACAATGGAAAAATATAAAGAAATAGCAATATAAATATAGATTTAATGACAGAGAGGTAAATACCCTGAGAATCAGCTAAAAGAGTAGAAAGTTTTGGCCTCTGAGAGGATATGGCATGTGTGTGCACATGTGTAGCAAAATTTTCTGTAACAAGTCTCACAGAACTATTTGACTCTTTAAACTCCACATATGCAAAAGTAATTAAAATATTTTTTAGAGATTGTATTTGAGTGTAGGGACAATTTGATACATGGGTTTGGGATCTAGTAAGCCTCAATTGGTTTTCTTGATTTGAAGAACAGACCAAATCCATAAAAAAGTATGCCAAACCAAGTTTCAGGTTTGGTTAAACCACTTTTCTACTCATCCAGGCAAGACACAAGAACAGGACGGATAGAGAAGACTTTAACTCCTTTCCTGCTTTATTCCTAGTTTACTCACCAAACTTTATATTGAAGTCTTACACTAAACATTATATTATTGAACACTGGTATCTTTGCCCATGAATACCACTAGGTCACATCCAAAGAATTTGCTGGGAGAGGACTTTTCACTTTTTACTTTGTTTTTATTGTGTGAGTATATTTTCACAGATGAGACACACATAAAGATCCTTAATGATTAGTTTAACCTGACCTCACGCATCCTGACCCAACTCAGAATAATCTGATTAGAAAGAAGGAATATCAACATATAAAACACAGAATAACCAAGAAAGTACATCCTTAATAAAATATTGCTCATATCCCAACAGGTAAATCTAAAAGACATAAATGATACATACTATAGAGCTGGTGCTAAATATAATCCCTAGGTATCATAAGACAGAAATAAATTTTTGAGTTCTCTACAGAATATATACCACATGAGCTTCATTTTAAATAAGTGAAAATTTACTTTTAGATTGATATACTTTTTCTTTACAAGCAATTAAACTCAAATTTATGTCTATTATGCTTCACAGTGCCCAGAACAAACTGGGTACATTATTAGGTACAAAGAGTTACTGACTGATGGAAATTAATCTATGAATTAAACCAACGGGGAAAAATTAATAATGTTGCGTAATAGATGTAAATTTTAAATTTCTCTGTAATTCTTTAAACCTTGTTTTACAAGATTTTACCTTAGTAATGATTATTCATGAATAGATTATTTTACCCTGTGGTAGAGAGGACTGTAAACATAAACTGAACAGAAGGGCTGGCTTTATTTTACCCACATTGATCTTTCTTGCTGCTACCCTGTTAACAATACTGCCTTCTTCTTGACAAAAATATTCAATAAAGAATTTACCTACACCAAACTCAGCTTTTGCTAAACTTATTTTAACAAAAATTTCTTCCTTGCCCTCACCCCATCACATCCAGAAGAACTTTGTCCTTTAAAAATCTGTTCACATATATTATCACTTTTGATTATCTAAACCACCATATGAGGATTAGACCATGTACTATTAGCTCCATTTTACTTCTGAGAAACTGATGTTCACAGAGGCTGAATAACTCATTTAAGGTCCTATGGGTAGTGAGTGGCAAAGGGAACACCACTTGGAACCCAGTTTTCTGATTCCAAGCCCAAGGGCTCTTTCCACTACAGTACACTGACTCTTTGATAATAAAATAGAATCTTGGAGGACTATAGCAGTGGTAGGCATCTTTTTCTTAAGTTGTTGTTTTATAATAAACATACATTAAACAGCAATTACTATTATAACAATTATAATAGGTTTGCAAAATGTCATCAAGTATAAACCACACTTCAAGTTTTTTAATCATGTGAAACTCATATTAATTCAAGGGCTTCAAATAGCCTAAGAATAAAATGAAGAAACTCTCTTAATCATTGTGACATTGCTATATCTGGTAATATATTCCTTCTGTAGTGATTTTAAAACTTAGCTCAGAAGGATCCTGACAAATTTTAAATGTAGAAAAAATAAGAAAGTTAATTAAGACTACATTTTAAAAATACCATTTCCTCCTTTTTAAAATACTAAAATAGCAGGAAAAAAGTTCCATCTACTTACCTCAGTAATTGGCTGCCCCTGATGTGTCAAATCCAGTTCTTGAGGGCGTGTTACTTTATCAATATCCAAAGAGTCCATGCTGGAGGTTGCAGAGGTGATGCTGGAACGAGAGGAGTTACTAACAGAGCGCACTTCAGCATCGCTCAATGTGCCTGCTGATGCTGTTCTTCTGTGCTGATTAGTTACTGAGGGCTTAGTATCCTCTAGTACAGATTGCTGAGCAGCCTCATCCATGCTCAAGGAAGCCTGTTCTAACTGTGCAGTGATGTCATCCAGGGAGTAGTTGGCATGTGATGGTTTAGTTATCCTGTTAGATGAAGACAATCCTTTCAAAGTGCCATGTTTTGATGTATGTCGGCTGGCAGGTAATTTCTGAGTGGGTTTTGTTTCTGTGATTTGACGCTTACTATTTCCTGCACCAATACTGCTGAGCTCCTGCTCTATGGAGCAAAGATCGGCCATCAGGGCATCCAGATCCACAGTTTCTCCCTGATTCAGAGCTTCTGCAATGAACAATACATACATGATGTTTCCAGGATAGACTGAATCAGAATTTACACATTCTATTATAAATCTGTCAATGAATGAAGGGGTAAGAAGCAAAGAAATTTATCCTATTGGGCCTAAAGCCTATTGAATATATTATTTCTAAGAGTTTTTTGTTTTAAATTCACAGAGAAATTTTTAGAAGCAACTAGTCCATCTTTTAGGATTTGTAGTAATCAGTAGAGAATAAAATTATGAGTTGAAAGATTAAAAATAATGCAAAAATCATATACTGTCCTATAGTTTTAACCACATCCCCCATGCAACTTTTCACCACAGGCTCTATATTATTAATATGATCAGTGCCATGGTAGAGTTGTTAATACTTAAAGAGCTGAGAGCATAGAGAGAAAAAAATGCAAAGCCTAAAAAACTACAGATTATGATGTCAATTCCAAATATTAGAAAGTTCATTAGGTAGAATACAATAAATAAAGGCCAGAGGGGCTGATTTAAAACTAATTAACAAGTAATTTCACTGGACTTTATTCCAATGAAAATACAACAGTGCAAGTAGGTTTGTCATGAAGTACCACTTGAGTATGTACTTTGTCAATTATTAGTATCTAGAAAACTATTTTAGTTATGTTCCAGTTCAGTTTTTTTTCTGTGATCATTTGAATTAGTAATAAAATGCACAAACCAAGAAATAGAAGAACTCACTCAAGTTATGCATGTAGTTTTTATATTGAGCTACTTGGAACTGTAGCTGCATTGCTTCTGCATTATATAATTTAGTATACTAAATATATATTTAGTATACTATCTTACATTTTACTTCCAATTACATCTTACCATTCAAGTTGTATATGGAGAAGCGATAAGAAAAATTGGCCATATTTGTTTCCTGACGAAGAGGAGATCTTTTTACTGGTTCCACGGGCTTGTCAGAATCCAAACTCTAAAGAAAGTTTAATAAGTCATATTATTTTTAGGCTTCAATTATAAAAAAGATAAAGCTTGTTATTTGATGAGGTGAACTGTCATATAATAGTTAATAAAACCAAAGTCCTTCTAGTTTTAAGGACAAGTAAAATGATGGTTTTATTGGTTATAGTTTTATTATTTTGGTTATAGTTTTTCAATTTTTAGATAATATGCTTATTACTTAAGGCATTTAAGACCATCCTAGTTTGGATTGAATGTCTTTCCAAATACATCAAGTATAGTGACTGAGCTCATTTTACATAAATTCACTATTAGCTAAATATATGAATATGGGCAAGGTAAGATTCTGTTATCTCTTCCCTCAGAGGGATTTGTTTTTGGTCTAGCATAGTCTCATTCTTGGCATGAAGTACCCTGAAGATAAGGCATAATTCTGGACTCAAAATGTGTAGATCCAAGATCAGTTTTTTTCTTTGTATTTATGTATTTTATTAAAATTTTTTTATCTTAATTCTAGTTAATTTATACTACTATATTAATTTCAGGTGTACAATACACTGATTCCACAATTCTATACATTATTCAGTGCTCATACCATTCCCCCTGCCCTCTGTTAACCATCAATTTGTTCTCTATAGTTTACAGCCTGTTTTTTTGTTTTGTTTTGTTTTTGGCTTTCTTTAACGATATACTTGGATCCCTTTCTCTTTTTTTTTTTTTTCAGATTTTATTTATTTATTTGACAGAGAGAAAGAGCACAAGCAGGCAGAATACCAGGGAGAAGGAGAGGGAGAAACAGGCAGCCCGATGTGGGACTCGATCCCAGGACTCCAGGATCATGACCTGAGCCGAAGGCAGTCGCTTATCCAACTGAGCCACCCAGGCGCCCCCCTTATGATTTTTTTAATAACATTTTCTTTTCTCTAGCTTACTTTATTGTAAGAATACAGTATATAATACACGTAACATACAAAGTGTGTGTTAATCAACTGTTTACATTAGTGATAAGGCTTCTGGTCAATAGTAGGCCATTAGTTACATTTTGGGGGAGTCAAAAGTTATACTCAGACTTTTCACTGCACTGGGGTCGGCACCCCTAGTCCCTGCATTGTTCAAAGGTCAACTGTATTTAATCAAATAAGAAGGCTTAAGCTAAATAAAGACTTCAAGATGGGTTTTCAAGTTGCTTTAAGAATTTTGTTATTAAATGTGAGAACAAACGGAATAAGACACTTGTACCTTGCATTATTCATTAAATATTCCCTGACCTCTTGCCTAACATCCAGATGGCAAGTGCCAGAGTTGACCAAATATCCCCTATCCAACAAAGCTGAAATGTCTGCTTTGTTTCATCTATCTCATAAACATAAAAATCCTAGGAAAGGCACTTATAACACATTGCTGATAGAAGATACATTCAATTTAGTCCCCCATACAATCAAACAATCCATCTAAATAAAAGTCACATCACACTGTAATTATCACAGAGCAATTCATCAATGTCAGCACCAGAAGGCTCAACTATTTTTCTGTGCCTTTGCCCTCTTTCTTATTTTAGTGACTACTGTCTTGGCTCAGATCCATACTATACTGTCCTCAGATTATACTAGCAACTTCCTAACTTACCTATCTTTTCATAATCCATCACTGTCAAACTAATCTTCCTTAAAAACTTTTTTCATGCCATGATTCTGCTCAAACACCGACAAGGGTTCCCCATGACATTCTGAATTAAGTACAAACTCTTCACCAAATGATTTCACGCCCTCTCTGACATGTCCTCAACCCGAATTTTCAACCTTATCTTCTACCCTTCAAACAACCTAAACTACTTAGGTATTCTCAAAAAACAAGCCGAGTTTTCTTAACTTGGTCTTTGTTCATGTTTTCAACCTGACTGCAACATCTCAACCTGTCAAAAGAACCAGAGAATACATTTCTCTCTCTCCCTAAAATCCCACTAAAATGACAGTGAACAATTACAAAAGGGAATAAACTCAAAGGCAATGAAACTAGAGATGGCAAAAGCATCCAAAGATCAGAGATTCTGGCAAATTTCTGGAAGACAGAAACAGGTAGAAACAGGGAGATGAACCAGAGTAGGAGCCATCAAAGCAAGCATTTTCATTCAATATTTATTCAACAAATATACATTAAGCACACACTGTGCCAAACACTGTTCTGGAAGTTCAGGTTATATAGTTACAAAGGTGACAAACAAGGGATCTGCTAACAATAAACTTAGATTCTAGTCAAGGTAGAGAAATATTAAACAACAAAAACAAAACAAGTAAGACCCATGACAACCGTGGTGGTAATTAAATTAGGATTGTATGGAAAGTGACAGAGTAGCTGTTTTAGACTGGATGTACAGAGAAGGCCTCTTTAAGTAGTGATATGTAAACTGAGATATGAGTGACAAGAAGGAATCAGACATGCACAGATCAGAGAGAAGAGAATTCCAAGTAGAGGGTACAAGTCTGGTGTATCAGGGAACAGAAAGAAAAATTAGTCTGATAGGAAGAGAGGGCCAGATCATTCAAAGATTTGTAAACCAAGAAATAGAGTTTGGTTTTTATTCTAAAGAAGCCCTCTCGAGGGCAATGAGAAGCCATCCCTCACATCCCTTCTGCTGCAGCAGAAGTGGAGAGCATTCTTGGAGTTAGAAAGAGATGGGCAAAGGAATATAAGTGGGAAAAAGAATGCAGGACAAGAGCCAGTATTCCCCACACTGGCACTCCCAGGGAAATTTTGGCATTTGCTTCCAGGCTAATGAAACTAAAAAAAACAACTCTCTCGAGTATAATGCCTTCAGGAGTCAGGTGACCAATATAAATACCAGCAGTAGCCAGGGAGTGGTACGGCCGGAAAACTAGAGGGCACAACCTCAGCTAAAAACACTCAAAGTTTTAAAAAAGTTTATTCTAGAATCAGATAGTGAAGTTGTACAACCTTGTAAATAAGTTTTTAAAAAATGTTGTATATGTGTATTATATCTCAATTAAAAAAAAAACTAAAGAAAAGTTTAAGCATAACTGCTAAACAAAAGAGTTAGATGCTACTTCCTCCAAGAGGACTATGAACTTTGTATCTCTCTATGGCACTTAGAGCAAATCAGCTTTATATTATGTGGTGGTTATTTGTGCACTTGCCTTATCACCCTCCACACCCAACTAGGTTGCAGATTCAGAAGAGAGACCATATGCTTCTCATTTGTCACCCCACACCAAAGAGACATATACTTTCTTCATCTGAATTTCAACTTTTTTCTGCTAAACATTTCTATGACGACTCCAAACTTAAGATGACATCTAATTTCAGAGGACTCAAAGCTAAAGGTGAACTAAGAAAGAAAGAAAGAAAGAAAAAGAAAGAAAGGCTAATTTCGCCAATTCTCAATAAATGCTAATTTCAAGTAACCAAAACATTTAAAATTAATTTCCCTATCAACAGAGGAATGGTTTTAAAAAAAGTCAAAGAAATTTCTACAATGCACTTTGGTTTTGGCAGAATTTTTGATAATATTTCTATAAGGCTATCTGTTTCTAGGGATAGGATTTGACTCAATAGCTGTATTAATAATACAACTCTCCTAAAAAGTAACAAGTGAGTAATACTAAGGGTTCCTGTACAAAACAGAAACCTAACTCAAACTAATTTTAAACAAAGAATCTAATCAAATTCAAAGTATAAGGAAATTTATCAATATGTTTATCCCATTGTATCTCTTCTCTCAACTTTCTTCAACTCCCTTTCCCTCCTTTCCAAGGTTTCATTCCAAAATGCTGTACGCCTGTTCTGCAACCTGCTTTATTATCTCCATTTCTTTAGATTTTTCTCTTCGCAATCTGTCAATCTTTTTTCTCCCCATATCTGTGAAAGAAGCCACTCTCAATTCCTAAATTTCACACAATTGCTAAAATAGACTTTTAGAATTAGCCAGAACTCTGAATTCACATAATTGCTAAAACAGATTTTCAGAATTAGCCAGAACTCTTAATAGAAACTCAAAGTTGGGGAGAAATCACTTTACTAGTAAATCCCACATACAGTAGTAGTTCTTCCTCCATCTTTGTATATCAGTATTTTATTATGGCAGGTCAGAAATTCAACCAGAGATGGCTCATTATTTCTGACATTAACCAGCCACAAATAGAAATGGTATTTAATGGTCAAGAATTGCTTTGGGTGAAAAGATAGGGCAAATAGTTACTGAAATTTTCAGAACGAGTTTAGTTTGTAGGGTGTTTAAACAACAAATGCTAAAACATCCCCTAAAATTTTAACACAAACTGGTTAACAAGAAAACTCAAGTTGGGGCACCTGGGTGGCTCAGTCAGTTGAGCCTCTGACTCTTGATCTCAGCTTAGGTCTTGATCTCAGGGTTGTGAGTTCAAGCCCTATACTGGGCTCCATACTGTGTGTGGAGCCCACTTAAGAAGAAGAAAAAAAAAAAAAACGGAAGTATATCTTTTCTTTTTATGCCCTACGTTTGAATTAGTAAAGACAGAACCTTCATTACCTTATACTACTGGAAGTGTTCATTTAAAGAAAGTCTGCAAGATCTTCCTAGCCCAAGCCATCTAGGACTAAA